ACATATTAATTTAGTATCTATAGTTTTAGTTTATCTGAACTTATTAACCAATTAAAATAACTTTGAACATTATATAACAAGGGCATGCTCTTTGGACTTGAGGCATACCTATAGGCATGCTCTAGGGACATGCCCTTAAGAACATGCCCTTAAGGATATGCCTATGTCTTTGTGCCTTGAACTTTAACTGTATGTTAATCTAATAGTTATTTAAAGTAAGGCTTTTCTTCTTTATCTCAACAGACAATTAGATAGTTAGACATTTAAATAAAAAATATTAAAGTAGATAATAAATAAAAACTATTAAATACTCTTTAGAATATTGTTTTCTAAATATTCTTATAATATTCTCTTTGTTATAATAACCTTATAATGTCTTTATTGTCTTTAAAACAAGTAAATAAATCCTACTTAAACCTTCTCTTTTACTCTTCTTAAACCTTTCTTTTACAAGTACCACTGTAATATCTTGGTGTCTTCTGGTGGAAATAAATTTAAAACCTTGGTGAAAACTATTTTATTTTTATTGTAAATTCATTAGAGTAGTTACTATATTTTTATTTATATTTCATCTCTTCTTCTTTTTCTTTCTTTGTTCTTTGTTCTTTTCTTTATTTTTCTTTAAAATTTTATTTTTCATTAGTTAGCTTTAGTTTTTCTTTAATAGCTTAACAAATATTAACTTTATTTTAAAAATCTTATCTCCTTTACATTCTTAAAAACATTCTTTATTTTTTGGTATATAGGTTGCTTAATACCAAAATACTTCTCTGTTGCTCTAAAAATTGTCAAAGTTTTTACTCCTTTTTTTTATTATAAATTTCTTTAAAATTTTGTCTTTACAAACATTAATATACAAAATTGACCCTTAATATCTCACTATTTACTTAACTGTTTTAGATATTCTCACTTTTTTTAGATTCATAGAGAGCCTTTCTACATTTTCTTCTAAATTACAAATCTTGTTAGTATAATACTAATACCTTGAATTTTGATTTTTCTATTTTGTTAAAATTTCTACTATATTTTATTTTTTTCTTTCTTTAAATTTATTTTCTTTTTCTCTTTGGAACTTTATATTTGACTTATAATTATTATTTTCTTTTCCAATTTCAAAACTTCCTCTTTACACATGTTTAGTTATTTTTCTTATTTGTTATATTGTAACTTGAAACTTTCAGAGAATAGAAGTAATAAACAATGCCAATTTCTTGTTAATCTTTTAGAGCAGAATAGCCAAATCCTTACTTTTTGTTGAAAATTTTGAAAAAAAATATGGTGAGAAAATATAAAGATTTTGCAAGATTTAACTATTGTAAATGCTTTTCAGATTATTTTTTGTTCTTCTTTCCTTACTATTCAAAGTTTCTCTTTTATTTAATCACTATCAAAATAAACTTTCTAACTTAGATATCAAATATAAAAGAAAGTCTATTAAAGAGAAGAAAAGGCTTTATGCAACCTAAAAACTGTTTTACTAACACTCGCTCTTCAATGTATCATATTAAAGGCTTCATCAACAATAGCTAAAAAAAAAAACTTGGATAGTTTTAGACATCAGACTTAAATTTTCAACTTGAGTTGGTTAAGAATAGTTAATGCAAATGATCATCAGAAAGAGTTTGTTATATTTAATTTATATTCAAATATATTAATATAAATAATTACTAATTTTATTATTAGATTTAAATAAACCATTAACTATATTTTATTACTATATTCAAATAAACTATTATCTATATTTTATAAATCTTTTATAAAATACTTGTATAATCTAGATTAAAACTTATTTAAATTTGTATAAGTATAATCAAATTTGAAGATTAGGCTGCAGATGAATCAAAATTATAGTTTCTGTTCATTTTTGTAAAAATTGTTATAATTTAACTTTGGTCAAAAAAATCTTTAGTAGATCCTTAACACAAAATATTAATAAAGATAAAAGCAAAACCTTTTCTTAAAAAAAAAAAAAAAAAAAAAACAATACTACTGCCAAAAATAAAATACAAAATGCAGTATAATCTACTATTCAAAGAATATTGTAACAGAATTTTAGAGCTTAGTAATTCAAACTATTAAGAATAAAGCAGGCATACTCTATACAATACCAAATACTGTCATGACATATAAAAACTTAGTTGGATTAAAAACAATTTGGCAAAATCAAATTGCATATTACCCTGTAATAGTACTAGATAATGTTTCTAAGTAAAGAAGTAAGAAGGCAGATTCTTTTTAGATTCTTTTGCATAATAAATATTAACGTTCATCTAAAGCTAAGAATGATTTTTTTTATTAGTGAAACGTTACGTTCTCAAAAAATATCTAAAGTGTATAAATAAGCTACCCGATTTACGCTAGCAAATCAGACGAAAGTCCTCATATGATATATATATAGATATACAGTAGTTCAAACCTCTTTATACGTCTCAATTAAATGAGATCTATAAACTTGAGTGAATTAAACGCATCGATTAATAAATCAGCAAAAAATAAAACAAAAGTATTGCCCAGTGTTAGGTTTACATCCGGTCTTTGATCCTTAGAGCGCGCATTTAGAAAGGTTAAACTGTGGTTATAATTTAACATCACATAGCATATATTTAATTTTTTAAATATGTAAGAAGCTTGGACACGCGTAGATTTCGATGGGACAAGAAAAAATTTCTTGGACACCAAATAGTCTTCTATTAATTTATCCGAAATAGACACATTGCTATAATGAAAATACTGTAACATTTGCGTTTCGATATATATATCACGTGCTTTATTCAACAGGATTCTAAGATAACTTTATTGTGGAGTGCAGAATGCAACTTAATGTTTACAACTATATTTTGAAAGATATAGGTTCACATGTTACTTTTTGAACCTTATATGATAATCTAAAATAGGAGTGTAGAATGATGTCATAATAGGATTTTTCAGTACTTTATCAGAAATAGGGGCAGCCGTTCAAGTCTTCATTTTGAAATTGTATTTCAAATTCGCCCGGTAATGTTAGCGAGAGCGCATAGTCAACACTGTCACATGTGCACTAGTAACAATAACATAATATTACCATTTAAAACATCTTAGTTACCCGGGATTCCTTTACAGTTATTTATAATTACAACCTGCATAATTCAGTAATATATATACATAGTTGTGAATTTAAATCCCTTTAGTAAATATTACTAAACGTAATATTAGCAAGGGCATGCACAAAATTGCAGAAAGAAATAAAAATTCACGTACTAGTGAATTATACACATAATAAATAAAGTGGTACCGAAGAAAGTGAAAAGTTTGATCGGCAAACATTGGATCGATAAGAGATTGTTGAATGATCAGAATAACAAAGAACAAGCAATTCTTAAGACAAACAATTCATATCTTGACTACTTAATGGCAAAAGAAAGAACAGATCACTATGCCTGAAATAGATAAATAAGTACTGTACGTATGCGTAGCATAAAATTAATTTGCTCATTTTCTACTACAGTATCGTAGATCATGCTACACTTAACCCGTTAGGAGAACCTTATCAACGAATGTCATGTGATATATAAGTTTCATTATTTTACCGCCCATAAAATTTCATACAATTAGAGAGACCTATCTCTAAATGCATTCTCTATAGATGCACGAACCATATAAATTCTTTTCAAACGATTTTAAATAGCGGTATACACAGCATGACCGCTATGAGAATGCGCCTTTATGAATGCGCCTTTATGAATGCGCCTTCTGTTCTACGATATGATGTGATTCACGTGATAAACAAACAGGTTATCCACTAGTTTCATATCTATTTATAACGTAAGGATTTAAGGGGTTGCAAGAAATTTGACTAAAAAAGGTCCAGGAAAATTTCCTGTTACAATAACAAATCTACAAATAGATTCTAGCCTTAAGTATTCTTTTACACATGGCAATAACCTTTCTTAAGTTAGGTTTATAATCGACTTTTCGAATGCGATCTGCAAAATCTATGCATGCATCATGTCAATAAGTGAACTCAACCGGTCAGCCGGTCAAGTTAAAGGACTAATTTGTAACCACCCTGTGAATTTAAAAAAAAAAAAAATTCAAGCCACTTAGTTCAAACGAGCTTTGTCGTCGACAGCTTCGCAACATCAAATTTTTTGTGAATCAAGAGAGAAATATAGAAAGACCGGACTGAATGCAATAATGAATACTAATTATGCTAACTATGCTAATTTCAATATTGATAGATTCATCCCATTCATCTTATTGGTAATTATGGTAATTATTATTTAATTAAAAACATAGGATCAGTTTACATACATGATTTAATGATGAAGTAGCGGCTTTATACGTATTACGCAAAGTGAAAATTGATAAAACTTACATACTGCAGGCATTAAAATTGTTTAATATATGTAAAATACGTAAATTTTGTTTATTAATATTATTAAGTGACTAATGCTAAATAACCGATGGCTTTTTCAGATAAGTATTTGTGTGACAAAATATATACTGTATATATAACTTAAAAAAAAAAAAAAAAAAAAAAAAAACATATAAATAAATCATTAGTGGCTCTCGTAAAAACTTTATAAAAACTTTAATGCCATTATGAACAAATAAAAATTCGACTATCGCACTTATAAAATTTTCTTTACAAACACGACATTAATGAATATTTTGGCACAACATATACTTGAAACAAATCTACTCTTACTTATTTTATACAGAAAGATTTTCAATAATTGAACTGCTGTTTGCAAATATTTGTACAAAGATATAATACATTGTTCAGTGTTTTTTTTTTTTTTCGTCTGCATTTTGGTTTCCTCTCGACTATTTATTCTCTTGGAGATATATCAAAGTTTTCTTGTAACGGACCATTACAAGAATTCATATATTTTGACAAACTTTTAAAAGGTTTGCTGGCAAGCCTTTTCTTAACGACATTTGATATATCGACCCTTGGGACAATTCCACATAGTATACAACAAATATTCTCGTAAATTTTAGTTACAACCGATAGAAAAATGAATGTTTCATTTACGGAACGTTTAATGGAATTAAACAATGCTCGTGAAAGGTCACTTATCTCGGAGGAAGAGTACTGCATGTTAAGGTTGAAGATATTTGATGCTTTTACATCATCATCCACCCCATCGACCACTTCAAGTGTAACTCAATATACCCAACCTCAACAACAACCTCTTTCGTCTCCTAATGACAAATCGCAGCAACAACATGTAACTTTCAGCCAACAGACCTTTAATTCTTCTCCAGCAAAGCCACTTTCAGGTAAAACGAAGATACCATCGGCGCAATCAGTCCATTCTTCAAATGGCTCTTTATCATCTACCCAACAATCTCCACAATCTCCACAATCTCCACGATTACTTTCACGTCAAATTAACGATAACATTAGTAATAACATCATGAATGACTCTTCAACACCAGAAAACGTAATAGGAACTAATTCAGTTTCACCTACTAATCAGATATACATTCCTAAAAGAACACGTTCAAGTTTGGCTTCCCATGCTCTTCAGGAAACCAATATTAATAATAATGAAGAATTATCTGTAAAGACAACACGAGGATTATCGACGCTTTCAGAATCTCAACACACGACTACTACAAGTGCTAGTATAAAATCACCATCATCTCCACCACCCTCAATGTCAAGTTCAATTCCTATTTTAAAGACAATAATACGTGATTCTTCTGCATCGAAAAAGAATCTTTCTATGAATCGTTCTACTCCAATGGCTTATATTAATCCTGATCCTACTTCTTTATTTGCTCACAATAATAGTACTAACAATCATAATGTAACTACCAATATTATGAATCATAACGAATTGAACAATGGTGAGATTAATAATATTAAAAATGAAGAAAATCACCTTACTAACGGGAGAATTACGAGCTATGATAACATGAATGCTATGGGGCACAGCGTTGAAAATGTAAATACTAACAATGATGATAATAGCATTAACAGTGGCGTAATGTGCCACACTAGCATAAACAATGGTGTAATGAATCAGAGTGATGAAAGAACTGAAATGATTCAAACAAGTGTGAATAGGATGAATTTTATGAATAATATGAATGGAAATAGTGGTGATGACGATGATCGACTAGTTTCGTCGCTTCAACCCTTTTCCCAGTCTCAATCAGCACCTCTACCACAACAAAGACAAAATATAAATTCCGTTACTTTATCTGCAAGGCAAATTAGATCCCGTAGTCTTGGTCCTAGCTCTGTTCTATCTTCAGATAACGATACAAATAACAATAATATTAACAATAACAATAACAATTATAATAATAATGACAATGATAATAATAATGGATCTTCGAATTCAAATAGTTTTACCAATAGACTCAGAAATAGAAATAGTCATGGAAATCTCAATACAAGACGTTCATTGAATTTTGGAGAAGTTATGAACTCACTAAATCGTGGCGGTGATCTTGTTGAAACAGGTAAACGTAGTAACATACTTAAATTTAAGCTATTCAAAAAATCGTCTAAAAAATGATAAGGTGAAGGATTTCGGATGGTGGAATTTTAAAATGTAAGCAATTTTGAGCGATTTGTAGTTGATAAAGTTTATCGTGATTTTTCTTTTAGAGTGGAATACATATCTGGATTATATTGGGAATATTTTATTCATATATTAAATATACATATAAATATATATACTTTGTTTCTTTTTTTTTAAAAAAAAAAATCCATTTATTTTATTTGCATAATAAATAATATTAAAATAATTTGTCATTTTATTTGCTATATAGATCAGTATGAACAATCTGTACCAGAAGTTCCACCACCGCCTTACTCACCTCCAGAATCATCTCGTAAGTCTTTCTATTTTATTTTTTTTTTTAAACAAAAAAAACTGTGGCTCTTTTTTTAACGTTTTTTTTTTTAAAAAAAAAAAGTCCGATTCCATCGTCGTCGTTCGTCAACTCCATTCTTTCTAAGACCAAAAACTTCAGCCGAACTTCGTAAAGAACTTTTGAAATTAACCGAAGAATCGAAGAAAGAACAAGATAGTTGGAGAATTGAGGAAGCTAGGTTAAGAATGCGAATAAATTCTAAGCCTGAAGAAATTGAACGGGTTAAAAGGAAAATGAAAGAATCTAATGAGAAATACCGGAAAAAAATTGAAGCTGTAACTGCAAAATTGAGGCAGTTGAGTTTTAATAACGTGGATGGGAATTAAATGATAAAACAATGCAGAATACTATTAAAATTGATTGTACATATGTAGCAGAATAGTATGAATAATCATTATTTATTTATTTGTTTTTGTCATTGATACATTGTTTTTTATTCAGTTTTTTAATTCGTTTGTTCATTATATATATATAATATATATATTGAAAATATGATAAATATTATGTAAAAACGGTTTGAAAAAATGCGATTCCTATATTGATGAAGTTTTGCCTTATTTAGAAATAAATGATAAACTACAGTTATATCCTCAAATCAATCGATCAAATAAACAAATAAGATTCACAGACAAGATTCCTACATACAGCGACAATCGCTCATAAATGCTCTTCGTTTAAAATTGCAGCGCTAAATCACGTTAAAAACCATTTAGTTTATGGATATGAGGTGGTATCTTCAATGATATCTTCAATGGTATCTTCAATAGTATCTTCAATTTGTTGCTGATACACCTGATGATGGATTCGATTTTTCTAACGCATTGGAGTTTAACGCTTCATTCATTTCATCAAACGCCGCAAAATGTCGTTGTTGTAATATTTTTATATCTTCAAAAACTAATATATAAAAATGTAATATATAAATATATTATATTACTAGTTATATTACTAGTTAGATTACTAGATATATATATTATTATTAGTTATATTACTATATATATAGTTATATTACTGGTTATATTACTATATTGTTAGATTACTATATAGCTATATTACTAGTTATATTACTAGTTATTAGATTGCTAGTCAATCGATTTACCTTTGTCAGCATAGAACGTATCCTTTAAATAGACTTTTTGAAGAAAATCAACCATAGCACCTGTACTTACTGCACATTCTTCAAGAGGTAACGTATCATAGTATGAATGATTTATTTCAAATGGATTTTCTGGTGGTGGTGATAGACTCAATGTTATCACTTCTGCAATTATTTCCCATAACTTTATATCTGCATTAAAAAATTTAAATAAATGATGTTTATAAAGAAATGAACTAGTAAATATATATTTTTTATTTTTATTTTATGCACCTTGAGTTTTCCACGCCGCTATAGTATCAAGTTTTAAGGGATTATCGGTTTCCAATTTTTGATCGTCTTGAAGTTGGATTAATCGCTTATGGTTCGATCTCAACTTTTAAATTAATTGAAAATTAATTAATATTTATTTTTTTTTACAAACTATTTACCACTCTATTACTTACCCAAACATATGGACATTTATATCTTGCATATCCAGCTATTAGGAAAACATGATTTGCTTCATCCTATGGATAAGAGACTTTATTACATTATGTAAAAGTTTTATCATTTATATTATTGTTTTTGACTTACTTTTTCCAGTTCTTCGTCTAAAGGACTCGATGGTGGTAATGTCATTTCCAAAAAATCAGATCCGTTACTAAGTCTATTTTTAAGAGTCCATTTATGAAACCTTTATTGACTTTACAATATAAATGAGAGTATTATGAAGCCTTACGTTCGTCGTGTTTTCGGTGAAAATAATGCATTACTCCTACATAAGTAGTTTTTACATCAATTTATGAACCAATTTATGAATCAATTAACATAAAGATCAGATAACTTACTGAAATTTTGCAAGCGATAAAGAGTTATATTTCAGTCTACTGCTTTCTTCAGTCGAATTTCGTTTTTGGTCATCAATGTAAACACGCAATAACAACTCCTCCCGACCTCTCAAATATACTTCAAAATGCCTAAACCCCTTTTTACATCGTTATTTGATTTATAGATTACAAAATGTTCTAATGTTACTATTGTGCGAATAAAAATTCTAGTTTTTTTCCTTACCTTTAAACACCCGACAGAAAGGCTGTCTGCCAAAAAAGCTGACAGTCGAAGAGTCTCAGACCTCCCACCTATTTGTTCTTTTTGGTTTGCAAGCATTGAAGAATAAAAGATATTGAATTCGCATATCGAATATCAGGAATAATTTCAAGATAAAAATACTATCAACACGTTTTTGGATAGATCTGTGTATAATGCATAATTTTTTTTTTCGATAGATAAATAAATATAAATAAATAAAAATACATGAAATTAATGAAATATCGGAAATGAAAGCAATTGTTCAGATACGTAACGGTAATCATCAATGACTTAATAATTCTATAATAAAATTGTCAAATATAGGCATCTATTACGTACGTACGTGCGTATTAGATAATATATACATATACTGTATAACGATAAGCTTATACGTACGTACGTACGTATACAGTTATTATTACGTATTATAGCATTATGACAAAATTTCAGTATCCCAAAATACCTGAAAGTTGCACAGGTGAATTGTAGTTCGGACCAAGGTTTATAATAGAAATGGATAAATTTAGAATTTATCGACTAACCAGGGTGCTTCTTTGAATGTTATAAAACTGCTCTTTTTTCTGAATTAATTATTGCCTTACTCAAAATAGTGAAAATCGATTAATCATTTACAATTAATAATTTTGGCTTAACTATTAATCGATTAGTTGTTTTTATACGTATTAATTAATTTTTTGATATTGTAATATCATCAAATTTTATTAGTCAATTTGTTAGTTAAATTTATATTATTTTATTAGTCAATTTTTATTAGTCGAATGTTATTAGTAATTTTTATTATATTTTCTCTTACATTTTATTATATATTTTATATTATTATTTTATAGTATTATTGGTTTATTTATATAATTTATAACATATTTTATTTATTTTAGTCACTCAAATGATAGTTTATTATTAACTTTATTAGGATAGTTTTCACAGAATTCTATTTAAAGCAATAGTTATTTAATTATTTAAATTATTAGTTTGTTTAATATAAACAGAATCTGAACCAAGGTATATGAACACAAATGGTATCCCAGGATAGCTCAGAACAATGTAACAACAACAATAATGATAAACAAAGTCAAATAAACCCAAAATAGCAAAAGTACTCTTGCTATATTAACAAGGTGTTTATTCTATATTAAAAGATGTCTATCCTATATTAAAAGGTACTTATTTTATAAGAAAAAGTGCTCTTGCTATAGTAAAAGATGCCTAATCTCTAATTTTAATCATTTTAAGATGCCTATCCACTATCTAAAAGTGCTTATCCAATATCTAAAGGTGTTTATTCTATAGTAGTAAGTGTTTTTCTAATAATTTTTTTTTATAATTCAGCTGTCTTGTCACTTTTTATTGAGATTAAACTATACTAAGAAATTTACATTCCCTAATAATAGCTATAACTAATCTACCCATAAAGTGATATACCCATGCTTTCGCCAAGTATGACTTGCTTTAGTGAACTTTAAACCTCTCTCTGGGCCCCTAACTCACTAAAGATAATGTTGGCAATGGACTATGTCCATTGAAAATAAGTTTGTCAATGGAACTTAATAGACTAATATCATAATCCATTGGTCTATTGATCCATTAGTCCATTAGCATAAGCCAAAATAAGGTCAATACCAAAAAAATCCTAAATATCACGTAGTATAATATTTTAAACTCATTTATAAAAGCTATATAATTATTTTACTTACTTGTTTATTAGTCCATTGGAATAGTGACTATCTAATGGAACCAATGGAACTGGTCAATAGACCTGGGATCCATTTATACCAATGGACAAATGTGCCAACCCTAACTAGAGGTTATCCTTTGGTTATAGGCTGATGCTACACACCATATCAAAGTTAGCTTTCCTTTTTTCAATATGAAATACAAACACAAATATAAAGGGCAAAATAAAAATGGTGAAATACTACGGCATCGAGATCTGGTTCATCTAAACCAATAAAACCAAATACAACAAATAATGAAAAAAAAGAAAAGAAAACAAAGAAAAGAAACAAAGATAGCATTATTAAACCCATGCTGGATTGTAAAAATTATATAATACTACAAATAAACTAGACTAAACTCTACGCTAGTTATTTATGTTTATATCCAGGATGTAAAAATCTTAAAAACCATCCAGTCTTGAAGTAGAGCTCCAAGATCAAAACTTTCGGTGCTATCTCAACTAGATCGGTGGGTCTTCTGCAGTGCTTCAAACGTTATCACATTATCTATCACTATTCATCCCAAAGTAGATACGTACACATGTACATGACTTTTCTTTTTTGGCAGCCATTACTGTGTCGATCTTTTGTTGAGAGTACACCGTTTTTCTCACTTTATGGTGAAAATTTCGAAAAATGCAAAAAGTGGAGGTTGGTATAAGGTTTCAGTTTGCGGGTAGCCTTAAACTTCAGTAAAGAACGTGTTGAAAACTCGCTTGTTGTTTTCCTTAGACCAACTATCATTAACTTCGTTAGCAGAAGCAGAGCTTCTATTAAAATTTTCTGTATAAGTGCACCACTTTTTTGCCAGTTATCTTGTATAGAAACGCTTTTAACTTGTATACTAAATATATAGAGGAGTCCAAAAGAAACATGAAAATCTTTGACCTCTATAAAAACTGTTATTCGTAGTTGTCTTTTCTACTTTTCTCCAACAAGTTTCTGTTTTTGTTAGCTGTAAGTTTGGTATGAGTGATTATCAGGGAGAGTTGTCAATTCTGTATGAGTGTTTTTCTAATAATAAAATATATTTTTTTTAAATATATATATTTTTTTAACGTATTGACAGCTTTGCTGATATCTTTATTAAATTAAGTTTTAAATTCAACATCACTCAGCTTCCTCTATGGATGCTCAAGTGTGGTCTGCCTCACCAGTTAAGCCTATTGCTCATATTAGAGGGCTATACCAAGCTAGTCGGTGAAACTATAGCAAGATGGTTTTAATTTAAAGAGATTTTTAACTAAACTAAATTGGCAATTTTTTTTTTTAAACTATTCTCCTTTTTATCACAAACTAAAATTAATTTTCTATTAATAAACAATTCTATTTCCTTTCTTAATAAGGGGTTATTGTCAGAAATCTCTCATTTATATTTGCATTTCCTTTTCCTCTTCTTCCAATTAAACTTGTCTTTTCTAATTAG